ATTCTCTTGCCTCAGCCTCCCAAGCAGCTGGGACTACAGGTGCCCACCACAATGCCTGGCTATTATTTTGTTGCAGTTTGGCTGGGCTGGGTTTGAACCCGCCACCCTTGGTACATGGGGCTGGCGCCCTGCCCACTGAGCCACAGGCACCACCCCAAATCATGTAATTTGTGTTCTTAGGTTCCCTGATCTAAAAAGTAAGAATAAATAAAATGACTTACTTCACAGGGTTGTTGTGAAAGTTAAATGAGTTGATAACATGCATACTTTAGAATAGCTCCTGGCACACAGTTAAAGTTGCATAAGTGGTGCTGCTGTTATTAGTACACCTACTATTGCTACTGTGATTATAAATCTATACTCTTCTCCTCTCCCTCTGTCAGGGAGATACTGGCCATATTAGGGACTCAGTAAATGTTTTCTGAGGGAAGAAGGGAAAGTTTAACCAGTTGATCCTATGAAATGAAAACTTCTGAAAGAGCCTTTTAGCATTTGAAGAAATGAGGTTGATAGGTTATGAGACTAGTTCATATCTTTCTATTTTTTAATTTTCATTTTCTTTGCAGGCCTGAAGGCATTGAGCGACAATACAGGAAAAAGTGTGCAAAGTAAGTATGAACAGTGTGCGTTTCTCCAAGACAAGTAGAGGCACAATGTGTTAGAAAAATAATTATTTGGATACGACCTTTTGTTTTGTCTTTATTCTTATAATCTCAGCTGCCTTCACACTTTCAACTACATACAAATACTAATATGCTCCCTGAAAAGGCTAATCAAAGTTATATCCCTGACCAGTTGGCCACAAAAGATGGGTTTTTAGCATAGTAAATTTTTTAAAAAGTGATGTAATTATACATAGTAAAATTTGCTCATTGTGAATGTATGATTTGATGAGTTTTGACGAAAGTACACAGTCATGGCTCGGCACCCATAGCACACTTATAACACTAGCCACATACACTGAGGCTGGCGGGTTCAAACCCAGCTCCGGCCAGCTAAACAATAATGACAACTATAACCAAACAGTAGCCAGGCATTGTAGTGGGCACCTGTAGTCCCAGCTACTTGGGAGGCTGAGGCAAGAGAATTGCTTAAGCCCAAGAGTTGGAGGTTGCTGTGAGCTGTGATGCCATGGCATTCTACCCAGGGCGACATAGTGAGACTCTGTCTCAAACATAAAATAAAATAAAATAGAAAAATAAAGTTTTTTTAAAACAGTCATGTAACACCACCACTACCCTGATGTAAAACATTTATAGCACCCCCTCTGCCCTCTGTAGTCAGGCTCCTTCCTTCACTCCTTCCCCTGTCAGGCACTGGTCTGCTTTCTGTCACTGTGGTTTTGCCTTTCTTAAAATTTTTTATAAATTCTATAATAAGTATAATATTTATTTTTTTGCACATGATCTGTGAGTATAATGCTTTGGGGATTCATCCAAGTTATGTATGTGAATCAATCACTTGTTCCGCTTTATTGCTGATTAGTAGTTTGTTGTCTATTTGTTTACCCATTCACCTGTTGAAGGACATTTGAGTTGTTTCTGGTTCGGGCTATTACCAATAACGCTTCTGTAAATATTATAGCATAAATCTTGATGGAAACATGTGACTTGCATTTTGAGGCCTCCCAGAGATTCACTGTGCTGTTTGCAGGTGTGGACTGCCACTCTTCTACCAGTCCCAGCCAAAGAATGCTCCTGTGACTTTCATTGTGGATGGAGCAGTAGTCAAGTTTGGCCAGGGTTTTGGGAAGACGAATATATATACTCAGAAACAAGAGCCTCCTAAGAAGGTAATTATCAGTGAAGGAGACAGATTTGGCTAGATTTTTAGATAAGACTATGGTGCACAAACAGTTGCCCTTACACATGCACGCTTGCTTGCTTGCTTTTCTCTTTCTTTCTTTTCTCCTTGAGAGGTAGATTCTTTATTAAGAACATGCCATTTTTGTGTATGAGCAGCTGTTATAGAATTGCAGTACCTATATTATGTGTTCTTTTCTTATTTCCTACAGTTGCCTTGTGAGTTTTTAGTCACATTTCTTTCCTTCAAAATTTCTTCTTTTTCCAGTGTGAACAATTAAAAACTGAATGAATTCAACTGATTTTTCATGGATCATCTTGTGGTAAAATAGGCTAATTCTTACTCTGCCACTCTAGGTGATGATGACCAAACGAACTAAAGACATGGGCAAGTTCAGCTCTGTCACTGTGTCGACCATTGATGAAGAGGAAGAGGAGATTGAGGCTGTAAGTGCTTCTCCTCTCAGGGGAGATGGAATTTGGGGTGGGGAGTTGCAGAGGAAAGGGGACTCTAGATCAGGGAAATTAGAGACTTTGCCTTTAGACACTTCTCTGCTAGTAAGAAACTGTGACACTGGGCTAGTTCCTATTTCCCTGGATCTTAGAGAGATCCATATAATGAGAGCAAGGGAGTTGGATGAGGTCAGTGATTTATTTTTTTCATACTATTTTTTGAGATGCCTTAGAAAGCAAAGCCCTTATCCCGTTTCATTTTAAAAACTGTTGGACTGAATTATTTCTGGTCCATTTTATTTTATTCTATTTTATTTATTTATTTATTGAGACAGAGCCTCACTATGTTGCCCTCAGTAGAGTGCCATGGCATCACAGCTCACAGCAACCTCCAACTCTTGGGCTCAAGCGATTCTCTTCCCTCAGCCTCCCAAGTAGCTGGGACTACAGGTGCCTGCCACAGTGCCTGGCTATTTTTTTTGTTACTGCAGTTGTCCTTGTTTTAGCTGGCCCAGCTGGGTTCGAACCCACCAGCCTCAACATATGTGGCCGTTGCCCTACCGACTGAGCTAGGGTGCTGCCCTATTTTATTTTTTTAAGACAGTCTCACTCTGTCTCTCTGAGTAGAGTGCTGTGACATCATACTCACAACAACCTTAAACTTCTGGGTTCGAATGATCCTTGCGCCTCAACCTCCCAAGTAGCTAGGACTACAGGCATCCACCACAATGCCTGGCTAGTTTTTCTGTTTTTAGTAGAGAGAGGTATTGCTCTTGCTCAGGGTGAGTGGTCTTGAACTCCTGAGCTCCGGTGACCCACCTACCTTAGCCTCCCAGAGTGCTAAGATTACAGGCATGTGCCACCGTGCCCGGCCTCAGTTCCCTTTTAATCCAGTTCTGATGGCTTGTGAATCTGTCCTTAATAGTAGACGCAATTGCCTTTATGGTACTTCTGTATAATGATGTTTACTAAGAAATGTTATCTGTTATTTTACAAATGTTTTTGATTGAAACCTGAACTCTCCTGGATTATTGAAAAGGTGTAAAGTTGAAAGGAAGCATAGCCCTGCCATTTCAGTAATGATTTCATGCTTTAAGTAGTATAAATTACTATTTCTGGTCTTTGTTGTTATTCCTCAACAAGGCTGCTGGTTTAAGGATGCTTCTTTTTTTCCTTCAGAGAGAAGTTGCTGACTCATACGCACAGAATGCCAAAGTGATTGAAAAACAGCTGGAGCGCAAAGGCATGAGCAAGAGGCGACTGCAAGAGCTGGTGAGTGGCTTGGGGTAGCAAGGTGATTGTTTGGATTTCTTAGTCTGAAAGACCTTTTAGCGGGTAGGGAAACCCTTAGAAAGTCTTCTGGGAGTTATTAGGGTAGTTGGGCCGCCAGCTTTTTAACCCTGGTCTGTGACTGTTGGTATACTGCTCTGTAGGAGTAACTGCAGGATCTAGGCCCCTTATCATGATACTTGTTAGATAGCCTTAACTATGATATTTCAGAATACTACTTGTGATCCAAGGTCAGGGTATTTGGATGCTCTCCTTGGAAACGATGGCTAGGATAGTGCTACCTTGTGGTACCAAAATTGGCACTGATCATTGCTTCTTAAAGCTCTGGTGGTTTTTAGCATTAGTCAGGGGATCGTCTTAGAGCATGTACATCTATATATGATGGTGCCTAGATTTTTCCTTTTTTGATAATAATTTACTTAAAATATTTCGCTAAAATGAGACATCACTTCTTTGGTGCCTCATCGAAAGGTATATCAGTCTTTCCTCTATCAGTCGTTCTGGAATTTTGGTGACAGTTAGTAGGTCCTGGCTGTAGCTTTACCTCGCCACAGTGGTTTAGAGCAGTGTTTCTCAGACTTTCTAAGGTGCAAGACCAGTGCTTGCTTTTTTCTTTTTTAAATTTCCAGTTTTTTCATGAACAGATTTGTAATTTATAAAATACAATAAAAATAAATTTGCCTCTATTTTTATTAGATTATTTTATTTTATTGCTCTGTCAAATTGCTATAAAAGTTTCTAAATGTTGGGCGGTGCCTGTGGCTCAAAGGAGTAAGGCGCTGGCCCCATATGCTGGAGGTGGCGGGTTCAAACCCAGCCCTGGCCAAAAACTGCAAAAAAAAAAAAAAATTTTTTTTTTCTAAATGGTTACTCTCAATTTTTATACATATCTTACAGGGACGGATAACAAACAGTTCATGGACCACACAACTTCAAGTAGCACTGTTCTAGAATTATATTCTTTTTCCTGTTCTGGCAAGAAGAATATATTGGTATCATGATAATGATTCCCTCAGCCCTTGAGGGGCAGGGTGCTGGGGCTGCTAGAATCCTGCACTGATTTCCTTTAGCTGCAGTCTTGTCTATTTTACTTGTTTTGCCTACAGATACCATTTTCTATGTGTGCTATAACATTAGAAAGGTTGGAAAGCAGTCATTAGAGATGCATAATAATTTTAGAACCACTCTTTGAGTTCATACGTTAAATGAGCATCGAGAGCGTGTTGGGCTAGGTGTGGTGGCTCACACCTGTAATCCTAGCACTCTGAGGACAAGGCAAGTGGATTGCTTGAGCTCAGGAGTTCAAGACCAGCCTGAACAAGAGCGAGACCCCATCTCTACTAAAAATAGAAAAACTAGCCATGCCTTGTTGTGGAAGCCTGTAGTCCCAGCTACTCGGAAGGTGGAGACAGGAGGATCACTTGAGCCCAAGAGTTTGAGGTTGCTGTGAGTTACAGTGACACCATGGCACTCTACACGGGGCAACAGAGTGAGACTGTCTCAAAATTAAAAAAAAAAAAAGGAGAGGGAGAGTGTTTGGGGTTGTTAAAATAAGGAAGAAGAATAAAAATAAGAATATTGTGTCATGTATCAAGACATATGATGTATGCTTTTTTTTTTTTTAACTTTCCAGGCTGAACTTGAAGCCAAGAAAGCAAAAATGAAGGGGACTTTGATAGACAACCAGTTCAAATGACCGACACCTTTCTCTGAGCCCGGATTAGAGGCAAGCATTTAGATGAGGAAGAAAAGTAACTGCTTGATTACATGGACCGATTCCTTTTTATGCCCCAGCAGAAGACTTTACATTGCTTCCCGCTGACTCTCCTACATGTAGTGAGATCTTTAGCTGAGTCCATTTGACCTGCCTCTTGGATAGAGATCTTTCTAAAATATTTCTGAATATAGATTTTCTGAACTATTTTTTGTCCATTTGATGTAAACTTCAGTTATGTAGAAGCTATGAATAGATCAGTGCTTGGGTGTCTTTAGTTTCTAAAATGGCTTTTTTATTCCTTCAAAGTTAATGTTTAAAGATTTTTTTGAAAAAATTTTATGGTGTATCATAGAGAAAAGCAGCATGAATTACTTTTAGTTTCAGCAAGTCAGATCCTTTTAAGTAACTCCATCTCAGTTCTTAGAATTAGCTATGGTTTGAATCTTTCTACCATCAGAGAAGATTCATTAAAAGCTAAAATCTGAGCTGAGTGAGGTGGCTCACATCTGTAATCCTAGCACTCTGGGAGGCTGAGGTGGGAGGATCACTTGAGCTCAGGAGGTCCAGACCAGCCTGAGCAAAAGTGAGATCCCACCTCTGCTAAAAATAGAAATAAGTTAGGCAATAATTGTTGGGTGCCTGTAGTCCCAGCTACACAGGAGACTGAGGCAGGAGGATTGCTTGGACCTAGCAGTTTGAGGTTGCTGTGCACTAGGATGATGCCCTGGCACTCTAGCCTGGGGCAATAGAGTGAGACTTTGTCTCAAAAAGAAAAAAAATACTATGATGGTTGCATAGTTCAGCAGATTGAATAGTGAAGAAATTAACCATTTGTCTGATATATCTGGGGAAAAAAGAAATTTAAATTAAAAAAAATAAAAAATAGCCAAAATCTATATTAAGCTTCCTTTACTTCAAACATTGAAGCTATAGGTGAGCCATCCCATATTAGACTTTATACCTAAGGCAAAACCAGATTACAGTGAGGGGGTAGTATAGCTCAGGTCTGCATGAAAATAGGGCCTCAGTAAGTAACCCAAGGGAGCTACCATTTATTCAGGCAGCTAGCTAAAAGTACTGCTTCCCCGTGTGGGTACATCTGATGGAGACAGTAGAGATCAAGAAATGATACTGAGATAACAAAATTATCTGTTGGGTATCTTTTATTTTACATTTGCTAGTTGCAGAGGAGTGTTGTATATATAGATTTTATTTTATGTTACACTGCTTCAGTGATCTCAGTGTCCCCATGTTTGTATCCAATGTTTTTATCTGTTTACCTGTATTACAAGGTGTTAGGACAGGAGGTGTGTTGACCTCCTTGTTGTATCTACAAGAAGTTAGACTTAGTAGGTACAACTTCCAAGGCATGTTTGTGAGGTGCTGCTGGGAAATACTAGGGCAGTTTTCTTTGCTTTTTTTCTGATTTTCTTATTTGCAAGGAAAAGTAGGTTGGATGTGAGCTAGCAAGAACTAGGAAACAGGGATGGGAATCCTGGGAGGTCCTTGATGGGTTAGGTTATCATCTTCCCAATTACTCTCCTGCATCTAATGAGGTCTTTCTTTCCACTTCATTTCTTGTCCTCATTCTGAGAAAGAATTAACCATCATGTGCATGACCAGCCCTAACCTCCTCACAATTCTTTAACCTCAACTCCAGACATTGACCTTTACCTTTGCTCCACTTTAGCCACAATCTGGATATCATCTACACCACTTCTGAAATCTAATATTCTGTTCTCTGACCACAGTCTGTCATATGTACTCTCACAGGCTTACTTCCCTAGACCTATTTGTTTTATTTTTAGATTTAAAGGGTGATTATTTTTATTAGCAGTACTAATGAATAATAGCAATAGTAATCCTAGCTACTTTTTTTTTTTTTTGCAGTTTTTGGCCAAGGCTGAGTTTGAACCCACCACCTCCAACATATGGGGCCAGCACCCTACTCCTTTGAGCCACAGGCACCGCCTGACAAGTATTTCTTAATCTAAACTACGTAATAAGCCTATGATATATGATAGGTTTAACTGTTACCATTCTCATTTTAGAAATGATTACTCTGAGGCTCAAGAGTGTTTAAGTTTCTCAAGATCCACTGCCAGCAAGATAAAGCCAAAAAGCTGAGCTCGTAACTATGCTAAACTGCTTCTCCTGTGGACTTTTCAAAAAATACTATTTTTGAGAACAAATTGTAAGTTAATTTTCAGAAACCAAGTAAAGTGCAATGTGAAGACACACAGAGGACTCACTATAGCAAATGTGTGGTTACTTTTCTACATATTTTCTGAAATATTTGTTCTTAGGTACTAATCCTAAACTCTTTCAGCATCTAGTTCAAATTATGCTTTTTGCTTCATCTATAAAGAAAACACAGTACCTTTAGCACAAAGCAAGCATGTGCTCGTCATGATGTTTTACTCCTTTATATCAAAATAGTTAATAAAATAACAAAATAGTTTTCCTACTCTCTTTATTAACTTACAGTATTTTATTTATTTATTTATTTATTAGACAGGTTTCATTATGTTGCCCTCGGTAGAGTGCTGTGGCATCACAGCTCACAGCAACCTCAAACTCCCAGGCTTAAGCGATTCTCTTGCCTCAGCCTCCCCAGTAGCTGGGACT